CATGAGTAGCCGGGAAAGCAGATGCTCAGCAGACACGAGTTTTCTAAGCAGAGCAATGGAGAGGAAAGAGCCATGGGCCCAGAGCAGGAAGGCTCCTGGAACATGCGGACAGGGCAACCATCTGCGGAGGTGCGGGGAGCAGGCTGTCTCCTGGCACGTCCATGGGTCTCTTCTCTCGGTCTCGTGGAGAGGCACGCACAAGTGGATTTAATAAAAGGAGTAAGGAAAGATGGTCCCTTATCATGAAAATTTCTTCAGGAAAGGAAGTACAGGACCTAAATTTCCCATATCCTGCCCCCAGTATCACGTTCCTGTTACTCTGAAAACTACATCTGATTTTTAATCTTCAGATAGATCGGAATTCACAGAGTGAATGTTTTATGAAGTCAATGCCCAGCCACTGCTGTTCCCTTTAGCCTATATAATCATGCTTTATTTCTAGTCTCTTGTTTTCTACTGCTAACATCTGCATGCAAACACAATCTTAGTATTCTTGATCTCATCTGTTCCTGCTGCCTATTCTTCACCTGAAGCCATAATCTCCTGTTTGTCACAACATAATCACTGCCCCAGCAGAGCACTGTTGCTTCAGGAGGGGAATAAAGCAGCAGGAGCAGATGAACTCTGAGTAACAAAGATCCTAATTCCTTCCAGTAAGGGACATCCTTCACTAAGCCTATTTGGCTCACCGAGTAGGCCCTCTCGGAGTGCCACAGAGTCACACACGAGTGCTAGAAAACCATCCACGTAGTCTGCTGCCTTGGCATAGGGCAAGACCAAACATGGGAGATGAGGTGGGGATAAAGCAAATGCCTCTCAGGTGTCACTCAAAACAATTGTTAGTTTCTACTCACAGGGCAACATTCACTGCAAGGAATAGAACACAGTGGTACCTCAGTCCTTGTCATTAATTCATTCTGACCAGTGGCAAGCAAATACCGACTGATGAAGCACTTTTTCTCATCCAAATGCATTGAGTACTGGGTTTGACAAAGTTCTGAAGCTTACGAGTACCGAGGTATGAGTGTATGTCCAGAGCTATCCTTATTAAGGCAAACTTAACAAGAAAGTGGTCATGGCAGTCACTAGTGAAAGTCCTCTGACCTGGGGAAATGCCAGCCCATGGAGGATGAACAGTTTATCTGCAGTCTTTGGTACACGCTGTTTCGTACTCTCCCTGACAGTGCCAACAGCCTTGGTGTCTTCTCATTGTCATTATGTACCTTTCCTCCCTTGCCTTTTGTCCAAGGCTCTTCCCCAACAACCCCCAAAGTGGGGAGGGGGTGAGTGGAAAAGGATTTAACAAAACAGAGTCTCCTTAATCACCTGAGGGATACAAATTGAAACAGCTCCATCAGTAGATAAAATACATCTTCTAATTCACTGATATAGAAATGGAACAACCCCTTAGCAGCGGTGATAAGGATGATCACAATTTTTATTGGTCATTTACCGTTTAAAAGGGGTTCATTGCTCGTCTAAGCCTGGGAGAGGGCAGCATGTTCTTCACTCTGACATTTTAAATGTTGGTCAGTAAATCTTAAGTCTAAATTAACTATTCTTGGAAAGAGCTGATGTGTACTTAAACTTCTCTGGAAATTTTCCCCATGTTTGATTCAACTTTTACTTTTTTATCCCTAATAGTGCCTGTCCATAGCAAGAACTTAAAAGATATATATATCTTCCTGCCGAACCAACAAGAGAGTGGCTAGTTGGCTTGGTGGGAACGTAGTCAAGCTAGTGAGCCCAACTAGCCATCCCAGGAGCACAGGGTGGCAGGAAGATGCTGGTGAGAAGGAGCAGATGAATAAGTAAAATTCTATCACGACTTCAGGAAAAGTCACTTATAAAGCAGTAGCACTTTCTACATATGTAAAGGGTAGTTACTGGTTTTTAGTACCACCTGTACCTTTCTTTCAAAAGTTTAATAAAAGTAGCATAACAACAGCCTTGAATGTATTTATTTTCATTATCAAGGCAGTCAAGCGAGGACCTACTAAGATGCACTAGAGATGGAGCTGCGTTCTTACTGGGATGAGCGTGGCCCTAGGGGCATGGCCGCGAGCACCCGGAGGGCTCGGAGTGTTTATCGCCATCTTCACACTAACTTGGGTAGTTCCTGGCATGGGGGCAACACACCAAATGAAAGTTAGGTCACAAGAATGTATAAATAATGAATAAAAGAATTATGAGAACTCTAAGAAATTCCTAGAAGTTATCCATATTCACTTGTTTGTAGTCTGTCTCCCTACTAGACCATAACTCCTCAAATGCAAGGACTTTGTGTGACTTATGTCTAGTGTCTAGAATAGTAGCCGGCTCCCTATCTTACACTGAAATGGTATCTGATCCCGTATCTTATTTTTGGAAAAAATGGATGAATATAGAAATAAAATATATGTTTTTAGTTGGAAAAAGTAGTCATTTATTCACCTTTGACTTCTCTTACTATGTAAATGAACAGATTTACACAATAGGCTAAGTCTATGAGCACACCCAGATTGTCCGGGATAAGGGATCTGCTTCAGTTCCTTGCAGTAGTGCCTAGTTAAATCTTGTGCCACAGCAACTGCTTAGTACCTGGTTATGAGTCAAAGAAATTTAATAAATTATTAGGGTTAAGATAAAGGTAATTTATTTTCTTTTTCTTTGCCACTGATAAAAGAGGTCACATAAAATATTTATTTTATAAAATGACACAAAGAGCACAATAGGTGGAAAGTTTTAAATGAAATAAAAAACTTCAGGGGCGTCATAATTCTTGAGAAGGGTTAGATATAAGCAGTAAGAATTCGTGCCTTTTGGAAGTAGTCCAGAGTAGAAGCCCAGAGAGGAAGGGAGAAAGGGAGGAAAAAGAGACTGTATTTTTCCTTATAATAGAATCAAAATAAAACAAACATGTTTGCAATGTGTCTGTAACAAAATTCAAGATTTACACATGTAAACAAAGAAAACATAAGATCATATTAGTGGTCTATTTACATACCAATATTTTTCCATAGTTGGATTCAAAACGGTGATCTATCTGAATTTACCTGGCACAGTACTTTCAATCTAATTAATCATTGTGAAGGGGTATTTCCACGGTAAAAGAAAAAAACCTCAGAACAATATTCCACACAAGGCTTTGAATTTTTGATGTTTTAATCATAAGTAAACATGTATTAATTCAGAACTACATTAAAATGCTTAAAATGCATATAATAAATTATCAATTTTGTTGCACAGTGATGAGGAAATGCTTCAAGCCAGGACTGAGGTTACATGGAGTCAGCTAAAACATCCTACAATTCATTTATGTTTTAAAGATCAGTTAAGTATCACCTTTGGGCAGGCTTCAACAAAATAATAGCACACAGAGGAATAGATGGAACCCATGAGTGGTAATGGGACTGTAGGTGAGTGGTAATGACTCCCTGGCTATGTTTCTGCGCTGTCTTTGTCAGCCATGGTCAAGCCAGTTTAATACACACAGTCCCCAGCATCTAGGGAGTAGAAAACCTGGGACTAAGCTTAGATCACATTTAAGCCCTTGGTCTTCCATCCTCAAGAAGAAAGAAAAGATAGGCTAAGCAAAGAAATGGTGCTGAGGGCCTGACTACACACATGCAGATAATGCCAAGAGAGTAACACCAAGCGGTCCTGAAAACATGACTGCCTAGTTGGTAGTTTAAAACAATCAAATGGATTTGGCCATGCTATGCTGGCCACCATCTGAGTGATCAATTTGATCGGATATTTTATAACACTCTAAGATCTCCATATTTCTAAAACACCTCACAGCACATCATGGGTCAACTGGTACCAATCCATTATACATTCTCTTTTTGATTACATTCTAAACGGCAATTTCTATCTAATTTACCCTCTTTTCATAGGCTGAACATGTCAATTGGCCTTCTATATGAAAAAAAAACTTGCCGTTTTTACATAATGAAATTTAATTCAGTAATTTGAGGCCACTTTGCTAATTTATCAACTTTCTTTAACCCTAGCTAGAGAATATTTATATCTCCCACCTTCAAGTTATCAACAACCTTATAACACATTCAATTCAATTCTCTAGTTTGTTAATAAAAATATTGAATACTAAGGCTTAAACCAGATTTCCTGCAGGACTGGAGTCAACATCCCTCTCCGAGTTGAGGTACAGCCATTTGTTTGACTTCCCTTGGCTAATTCTCTGCCCATCTTCAAAAGAAAATTATGTAATCCAATATTCTTTTATTTTTAACCTAAAAAAGCCACACTGGGCAGACAAATATCTACATAGAACAGGTGTGTACAATAATATGATTTGTACAGTGCCTTTACAAATGCTCACTTCTAAAGTGGGAAAAAAGGAATTCATCCTAGAGTGGTTTACCGCTTCTGCGGTCAGTTATCACATGTATGCCCTCTGAGGCTTAATTTCTAATGAATGCATCAGAGATAGTGAAAGAAATAACGGTCTGTAAAAAGATGCCAGACTCACAAACACATGCATACGTGTAAGATCTTTAAAAATCATACTAAATCTAGCATGACAATTAAAGTTTGACATAAGAGTAATAAAAGCTTGATATCGGGCTTTCAAGTAAAAGTACTACCTGATTCCATACACAAGACGAACACACCAAACATGATTTTTTCTAACTATTCTTTTTAATACATAAAGCATTTTACAGACAAAACTTCTTTCACTTCTTTCTCTCATAAAGCCTAGATTATGGTTAATATCTCATGACACCAAAAGTAATACTGTAACAGATATTAAAGCATTTTTTCAGCCACTTATTCTATAAAATATTAATTTCAAGCCTGTGCATGTGCTGTACATATAGGGGATTAGGGAACTGAGTTCCTCCTCAGTTCTAAATCAATAAAACATAACATGTACCGCATCAATCACCACTCAGTCTTCCTTCAGTACACAACAACGGCAAGGGGGAGATTTTAAAAAATATATATTTAAGCTCATGGAGGTATGGCCAGCTAGAGAGGATGTCAGCGATACTTACCTAGGAAGGACAGGTTTTTCTCTAGAAGCAAGTCTCTCAGCAGGACTTCGTGCTCATAGCCGATGGCACTGGGAAGCGTTTGTTAAGGACGGGGACATGCATAGAGTTATGAAAAGATGCTACCACGAAAACACTGATACCAGGTCTATACTTTGAGATGAAAAGGGAAATATGATGTAATTATAGCAACTATGTCCACCTTTAGCCTGTATCTGTGAGATTTCTATACAGCTCCTTCACTTTAAATGATTCAACGAAAGTTTTCTCTAATGTTTATATACATTTTGGCAAATGAAGACTTCTAAATGGATGTATATATAGTTTATCTTGTTTGGAAAAGAGGGACAGCTATTTTAAATATCCTTGATGCTCTATTAAAAATCTTTCAATTCAATTTAGCACACATTTATTAAGCACCTACTACGTGCAGCAAAAAAAATACCAAAAAGCCTTCAGTTTAAAAGAGCTTCCAGTCTTACTGAGTTCTGTAAGTCTTCTGTGGATTCATACTTGCACAGAGCTGGCCTTTAGCAGTTCCTGTATCACTTCCAGTTGGCCGTCTGCTGTGACTTGGGAAGCCAAACGACTGACTTGTTGAGAATCATATACAATGTGAAAGACAGACATCTTTGAAAGGACTGTATGTCAGGGTGTATGTACAGGGCTGTTTCAAGTGTTCTTCTCATGTGTGTACAAGTCTACTGATATTATAATATATATACAAACAGATACACACAGGCATACATACATTTTTAGAGTGCTTGCTATGAGGCAGACACCCTGCCAGATAAACAGATAAGTGTTTTATATATGTTATTTCATCCTTACAGTTATCATCATCCTTATTTTACAGATGAGGAAACTGAGGCTTAGAAAGGAATGTGCACAAGATCATACGGTCAACATGTGGCAAAGCAGAGGCTCAGATAAGATCTGTGCAATCCTGTATTCATGACCTCCGCACAACTTCTAAAAAGTATTAAACTTAATTATGTAAAAATAATTGACACTAGCTCATATTTCTTAAATGCCATATGCTGCTAACCTTTATGCCATAAACACTGTTATACTATCATCTTATTTAATGTGCATAACGACCACATAAGTAGGCAGTCCTGTTTTCACAGTCAAGGAGAGCAAGGTTCAGGAAGGCTGAGGAACCTGCTGAAGGGCCCATGGACAGTAAATAATGAAACCAGGAATGAGGCTTGAAATTCTGGTGTGTTTTCCAAAAGAATGGGATTGTGCAAAGTCTGAAAAGGAGTGTTATCCTATTCCAGTACTTTAATTCTGTCCAAAGCATGGTCCTAATGATCTAATTCTCCATTTCACTGACAACGCCAACCTGGTCATATCCTTCCTTGGCTTACCAGAGACTTTCATTATGATTGTGCTCTGCAAAAGTTCAATTTGAATCAAATAAAGCTGATACATTATTTGTAGTAAAAATAACAATGACAAAACCCGAGCATATTATCCTATCTTTTATAATTTGGTGACTATAGCTTAGAATTCCAGGGATGTGGCCACTGTGCCAGCCGTCAAAATGAGTCCTAAGTCGTAACCAGTGCACTTTCCTCCTGCTTCTTCCCGCCACTCTGACATGCATGGCTACGTTTATTTAATTTTTTAATGGAGACAAAACAAAGGAAACTCATTTTTATATCACAAAATTTCACACATTTGCAGAGTCCATTGAAAACATTTGATGAATACCTCTCAATGATGTCTCATTACTTGGGGCATCCCATATTTTAGAACTAAATTATTTACTTCTATTCCACATAAGTGTGCTCTCACTTTTATTGTTGTAAATTATTTACATCTAAAATGTTGAATCATGAACTGAGGTTACTGATGGTACAGAAATGAAACCCACAGCATTTTAAGCTTCCTGCATCATTATCTTTCCCTGCTTCTCTGCTTAGGTCTTTGTCTAATAGCTGTGTCCTAAAGTCACACTCTGGAAAGTCGAGGTGGCTCTTTCTCACACTTCTGTGTCAGTGAATATGACTTGTGGCAGGAAAGGTGTGGGTAGCCTGATTATGTAGGAAAAAAATAGAAGACGCAGAAAGAAAGAGAAAGAATAATGACAATTTATAGTTTCTTTGCTACTGTGCTTTTTTGGGTGTCTTATTAGTAAATGACCAATTTACTTTATTCTACTTACACAAATGTCTATGTGTAACATTTTCATAATGGAGTAAAAAAGTTTTGTACCCATTCGATTTATTAAATGCATGCTTTCTTTCTCACAAAATGATGTACTTTACTGAGGGTAAGTGCTGTAAACAGTACCAAATCATCAAAACAGCACAAAAATAGCATTTTCACTCACATGGAAATCCAGTCATTTTGATTCAGTGTGAAATAAAATAATTGATCAGTCTAAGAGACATCTATGCAGATGTATTTACATTATACAAAACTGCTACTACCTCAATGCAAAGATAAAAATCAGTTCTCTATAAACTTCCCAACCTATTTTATTTTGCATGGTAAAAGCAATGACCAATTTAAAATTTTGGAAAAATCCACTTCGTGGTTTTTCTTTGCTTGATATAAGCCATATTTAAAATAAAAAGGTCTACAAAGTAAAGCTTGTAAAAACAGTAATTCTACTGGCAATAGGCCCAATAATAGAACTACAAAGTTATAATCTAGTCAGCGAATGCAGTATATAGACATACATCATTATCTTTATCAATTGAAATCATGTACTACATTAAATTCTACTGACAATAATACAGCGAAAAAAGAAAAGTGAATGATGGCAAAAATGTAAGGAAAATACTCCAAACAGAATTTATAATGCTCCATAAGCAGAAACACTTAGACTTTGTCTATAATAATACCTATTATTGATGTATGGCAGTGACCATGGGGCAAAACTTGTAAATAACCTCACAAGCCATTTTCTTCTCCAGCAATACAGCAATCTAGTTTCCCGTAAGCATCTCAACTATTACTGAAAAATAGCCTCCTGGCATTTACAAAGCAGTTGACTTCATACTTTAGTCCATGCATATGTAATTAGATAGTTATATCTAAAATCAATATGCAATCCTTCAAAAGACATTATGCTTTTAAAACCTTAACTTTAAATTGATTTTTAACTATTTTATGTGCTTGAAAATTAACATGTAATTCCGCCCCACATACTCTGAAATGGTGTTAGTTGTTACATGAATGTGGTAAACTTTATGGCTATAGCAACTTCAGGCTGGCATTCCTACACCTTCTGACACTACCATTAATTTTACACTGAAGGTAGAAGTATAGTTTTACTTTGAGCTAATAAAAAGGTAAGCTTATCACAATGCTGTGGTTTTATTAGGTTAGGTTGCAGCGAACAGACTTGGAGAATAAATACACCAAAAGCTGTAACATATACACTCTTCTTATAAGGGGTCTCTGTTAAAAGATTATTTTTAAAGGTTATCCTTTATGAACAAAAATGAGTAATTTTTTTTAACAAAAAGTTTACTGGCTCTAAGCCTTTATGAAACAAGGTGAAATAATGAACACCCATGCACATGGTGCATGTACACTTGACTAGCAAGGGCTGCCAAGAAAGCCTCCTGACTGGTCGCCAAGTCACAGCTGGTCACAGTGCCACCCACACCAACAAAACCTATACCAGGAAGGGCATGTTCTATTTAAGAAACGTGAGACTCATGGACTCAAATATATATGTGTATATATATATATTTAAGTTACTCCATAAGTAGCATTTTTAGCTAAGGAATATAATGAAATTCTTAGTGTGGCCACAATACTACTAAATGTATTGATGAAGAATGACCTGTGTCATGAAGTCATTACTATCCACTCAAATCCTATATTAAGAAGTAGGCATTAACTCTTTAGTAATCTCAGAGTCTTTAATGAATGACTGGCCATGTTTTTATAGCCTTAAATTCAGTCCCTAGGGGCCCTGGCCAGGTAGCTCTGTTGGTTGGGGCATCACTCCATTGTGCCAAGGTTGCGGGTTTGATCTCTGGTCAGGGCACACAAAAGAAGCAACCAATAAATGCATAAATAAGTGGAACAAGTCAATGGTTCTCTCTCTCTCAAATCAGTAATAAAAAAAACTCAGTCCAGAGGGAAAAAATTAGGTTGGTTTCTCTAAAAATGTTTATTAAGGATTTAAATGACAATTCAGATTGTAATCAGCATTTAAGCAATAAGGGTCTACTGCCCTTTAAAATGTGATGGTCTCCGGCAACATTTTAATCACATTATCCTTCAACTTCAGGCAAAATTTATTCCAGCAAACTCAACTGAATTTGGTTCATTTTAAATAGAAAATTTGTTCTATTTTTTAAAATGTTCATTGAAATGGTTAGATACATTCCAAGACAGTATGTTACCTGCCTAATGACTCTGTACCTTCAAACTCATTGAAAACCAGGCGGTTTGAAATAAGCATGTGAGTGTGCAGCTGCTGAACTGACATCTTCCCGTGGCCTATCTGGTTTTTCTTAAGCTGTAGGAAAGAATGGTCTGCAGTGACCCTCCAGCTGATTGAATGTAAAATAGAAGAGTATGAAATGTGTTTTGTGAAGCAGAACTTTATGTCACGTTAAAGCTAGACACATCTCCTCCAGTGACACTAAGCTCGTCAATTGTGCACCTAAAATTTTATGGGAAAGGATACTGTTTGATGCAGTCCACCAGCGGTCCATAACAGCAGTCGTTCACAATGCACTGCAGACAGACAAGAGGAGGGGTCTGGGGTGTGGTGACTATAGAAACTACTACAGTTAAACAGTATCCTAAAAGCTGTATCTGAAATTTTTTTCTCTAGTTTTTTTTAAAAAGCTATCAAAAGGCTTTTCAGATTTAATCACAGAAAACAAAAAGTGCATGGTTTTTATTCACTATAAAAGCAAGCTATTAAAAAGTGAAATGCTCTTCTCGCAAACATCGCATTGCCATTTATGGAGCACTCTGACCTCAGTGATAGTTTATGATGACAGTAATTAAATGAGGTTTAAAATCCTTTACTCTGCTAGGCAGATAACAGCATCGCCACTGAAAATAGACAGCTGTGATTAATACCTGATAGACCTGATTTGCTAGAACTCCATCTGGAATCTGAGAGGGGTCCCGTAGCATACTATTTATAACAGACTTGGAGGCTGCAGAAGAAAAGAGATGAACCGTTAGCAGACAGTCAACATACTTTTAATGCAACATGAGAAGGGACATACACCTATATACACACAAATCATGACAATGGAAACACAATTGATAGTAGTCATTTCCTTTTTACAAATCTATGAAAAGCTTTTAATTATACCGTTTTGCTAAGTTTGTGAGCTACGTTGCCAGATTTGAAGATGACCTGATATTTCCAAGGTAAATTACAAGTACAGATCTAGCATATGTCTATTTGCAGATACATTAGCTTTAGAAAGCCCATTTGGGGGAAAAACACAACAAAGACAATCAGAAAAAAATATTTACATTTTGCAGGTAAGTATTTTATAACCATGTGTATATGAAGGGTTTAGCGAAGGCAGGTCTGATTCAAAGACTTCAACAATGTCAGTAAAAGTAATTTTCAGCTAAGAAACCATCTCTGAATTCTAGACCTTTATAAAATACTCATCAACTGCTAAACAATGTATATCCATGTCACACAAATATAGGTAAAAATGACTGACAATTGAGAGAAACTTAAGAAAATATACAGGTCCCACACAAACAATACCCCCTTTTTATTACATAATATTGTATTTCAAAATCATAAGCATGTAGTTCTATAACACAATGATATCAGACTCAAGCACACCATATGACATATGTTTTTTAGATTTTATATATTTATTTTTAGAGAGCGGGAAAGAGAGAGGGAAAAGAAATATCGAAATGTGGTTGCCCCTTGTGTGCCCCCCACTGGGGACCTGGCCAGCAACTCAGGCATGTGCCCTGACTGGGAATCTAACCAGTGATGACCCTTTGGCTCACAGGCCAGCACTCAATCCACTGAGCCATACCAACCAGGGCACCATATCTTGTTTTAGGTGAAATGTTCAAATTACTGTCCATGTCATGTAAGACATTCACATACCCTACCAGCCACACTCCTGGAAGCCTTGCTTCTGCCAGACCCTGTATATACTCATATATATATATACATTTATATATTTGGAATTTTTGTTCCAAAATATGTGTCATTAAATCCAAGGTAAATTAAATTGGTATCTCAGGGAACTGTTATAGAAGAAGAGGCTACAGGAGGCTTCGAATGAGGGATGCTATATCAGGTCATATTCTTTGAAAACTGAGGCAGGAGATCCTGGCCTTGCTGTTGACTTCGGGCACATGAAACCCAAGGTGGGCAAAGCTTCCTCTCCTCTGCGATGGAGGCATGCAACTTTCTAGACCTGTGATTTTCAACTGGTGTGCCACAAGGATTTTTAAAACATTCAATACCTGACTATTTAGTTAGGGGCACTGACCTCTTTTCCCTTAGGCTGTCAAATAAAAAAAATGACAATATCCAACAAACAATAGCTGTCCAGTGTGAATCAAAATTATATGCTTTTTTTGGTCAGATTGGCAATGTATATATATATATTTTGGTATGTCATGAATTTTAATAATTTGTTTATGTGTGCCATGAAGTGACAAAGGTTGAAAATCGCTGCTGTAGACTGAAGCTATGTCACGTGTTGCCTAGGAATCAATTCATTCAAGTCCTTCAATTGAATAATTCCCAGATAGTTAGCAAAATAGCTTAAGGTCTGGTCCATACAAACACAATAAAAATGCATATTTGATAACTATCTAATTAATAGAATAAACATAGACCATAGATTTACATCATTCAGGTTCTGAGATAATTTTTGGCTTACAGCCTTTTTTAAAAAATTGTTATATTCTTTATCAAATTCAGTACTGTAAGAACACTGACAGATAAGATAAACGTTAGTAAATACTGTTAGTAAATTATATCTTTTTCACTTTAGTAGAGTCCACAAAGAAATAATGAAGTGCAATTATTTTAATTATTTCCTATTTTTAGTCACGTAACTGCATGCTTATTGTAACATTTACATACTTACAGCCATTTGTAAATATGTTTGCACGGCAAGTGGAGAGGCCATATTCAGAATCCTAAGTGAGCACCATCACTGAGAACGTGCTGAGAAAGCCCGTTCAACCTTACGTATACAACTAGCTCTATGACCTGGGCAACCCTATGGAACTTTTCAGATTCGGTGTCTTCATCTGTAGAAAGTGATAACATTATTTGAATTTACTATGTTAAAGGTTTCTTGCGTGATTCTATAAAGCAAATACCTTTGACAGCTATTTTGTTATTTATTTTGTTAAAGCTGCAGGAATATTGAGAACCAAATCAGGCTTAGGCATTTACTTCACACAAACTTAAGTTGGACTCAATCATTTCTGAGGGAAATTACCAGGGATGAATGGTACAGACACTGGGACTATGAAACAGCAAGTCATCTTATTGTAAAAGAATAAATTACTGAAACAATGGTGTTCAATAGATAATAATGTACTTGATAAACTCACTCAGTTTTCCTAACTGAATTGTAAGGCCTGGTGAATCAGAGGGACCAGGGAACTGCTCATTCATTTCACTACCTTCTCTGAGGGGAACTGCTCTCTCTGGTTTGCCAGTCAGTCATTGGATAGTAATGGCAGACACATCCATTTAGACTACCCATGGTGCCCCCAATATTTCAAGGAAACGAGCGCACCTTCTCCAGATGGACCTGTACCTGGTCATTGCTAAGATGTTACACTGCTAACTTTCACACCCTTTTGAGGATAAAACTATTAATCCCTAAATGGCCAGACAGCATAATCAAAAGTGTTATCCTATGGAAAATTATAGGCCTCATAACCAACAATATACAAATGCATTGCTAAAGTCATAAAACAAACACTCTTTTTTAAAAAAGAAGAGGAACAGTACTCTAAGACATAAGAAACTTAGGTCATTTATTTTATGAGAGAAGAAAGGGAAATATTAAAAAAGAAACTAATGACATAATTTTCCTCACAATATAAACTTTCGAATAGTGTGCTTATCAGAATTAAGAATCATAGCCAATAAACCTTTTAGAAAATAGTATTTGAATGTATTGAGTAGCACAAAATAGTTTGAATGTATTGAGTAGCACACTATACAAATCAAAGGAAACTTGAAAGAGGAAGTCAGTCACTTTAAATTGAATAGTAAAAACTATATATTGAGTCCACATTCATGCAAAAAGTATGCCTGCATCGCAGACGAAGCCAGAGAGTGCAAACTTACTTTTTACACACATATTCTGAAGCTTCAGAACTGCCATATGGATGAATAACAGCATCAACCAGATATGGAAAGGCAACTGGACAATATTGGGAGGGCTGGAGATGATAGGTCTCAAGAAAGCTTGTGACTTTCATGGACGATGCCCCTAAGCCAGCTACTACCTCTGTCCAATTCTCACCTGTATTTTTGGACCATTCATGGACAGAAGTCTTGTTCTCTCTAACTCTGTCAGAGGCATTCATTCTGTAGATTTCATAGTTTACTGACCAGTGCTTCAACTGCTGGGAGTTCAACTTTCTACCAAGCATGTACAAAGCAGGAAGAAGCATGAGTCCCTTGGAGCTACATGCATAAAAACAGGAGAGAGCTGGTACCTGTTAAAGCTACAGAGGACAGGCAGCAAGCAATGCCTGGACTAAGATATAATGACTAAGGAAAGGTTATATATTTTTACTGTGAAATATGTCTGACAAAAATAAGTCAGAAGACTAATATAATAAATATCTGCCCACCCACCACTCTGACTTAATTTCTGGATCTGTAAATTAACTTTAAATATTTTAATATTAATTTGTATAGAATCTTTAAATGCATCAGTCTTGCTAGAGGTTGGTTAATTATAATCTTCAAGTAAGCAAATTTTGGTTTAGCTGATTCCCCCTAAATTAAATTACATTTAATTTACTTTTATGATCATTATTTCTTGCTTTCTACATTGAATTTGCTACATTATTCTTTTGCTAACTTACTTTTTTATTAAATAAAATTTCAGTTTTTCATTTTAACATATACTTTTTAAGGCTATAATTTTTCCTCTAAATTCTGCTTTAGCTACATGCCACAAGTTTTGTTGTCATTATAAATATTTTAGAGTTTCATGATATCATCATTTATCCACAAATTACTTAAAAACTTATTTCAATTTTGGCTAATGTAATTATGATATGCCTTGGTGTGTTTCTTCTTGAGTCCAACTTTTTTGGTACTCTCTGAGCTTCTTGGATTTCTTGGAAGTCTATTTCCTTTGCCAGATTGGGGAAATTTTCTTTTATTATTTGTTCAAATAATTTTTCCACTGGTGGCTGTGTCTTTCCCCCTTCTGGTACCCCTATAATTCGGATATTGGAGCGTTTAAAGATGTCCTGGAGGTTCCTAAGACTCTCCTCATTTCTTTGAATTCTTGCTCCTTGACTCTTTTCTGTTTGGCCATTATTTGCTTTCTTCTGGTCCACTCCATTGATTTGAGTCCCAGTTTCCTTTTCATCGCTATGGGTTTCCTGTGGAATTCCATTCATTTCCATTAGTTTAGCCTTCATATGTTTCTCTAATTTGTGGCTATAATCAACCAGATCTGTGAGGATCCTGATGACCAGTGTTTTAAATTGTGCGTCTGAGAGTTTTGCTATTTCTTCGTCGCTTAGATTTATCTCTGGGGCTTTGAGGTCTTCCTGCGACATTTTTGGTCTGTTCTGGCCCTTTAAATGTGAGAAGCGGCGCCTTGGACTCCCAGGTAGCTGGGTTGTGACGCTATATGTGGGGGCGTAGCCAGAGCGGGGAAATGGCGGCGCCCTCTACTGCCGCTTGCCACGGGGACCTCCGGGGCCCCGGTCCAACCGCCCACTCCCTCGCCTGTCCGCTCGCCCGCAAATAGGCAACCGCAGTCAACACGCAGCACCGCCTCCCCACTGTCTCCTCTGCAGTCGCTCACCCGGTGGGTTGCTCGGTTGCTCACTAGGTCCAATCCTGTGTTTGGAACCCGTGCGTCTGGATTCTGCGCCCGGGTCTGACCCAGTCCTCCTGTGCAACCCCTCACGAGACGCCGGTTTCGCCCCTTACAGGTTGGGC